CGCAGTTTTATTCCAGAATTCTGTACCAAGTTATTTGCAGGCAGCTCATGGCAGCTAGCTAAATAACGTAATTGGGATGGTGAGTGGCATGTAAATTAGTTCACCTCCCTCCCTCCCCTCCAACTACTCCAACTCGAAGAATACAAAATTGGTGACGGAGAATAAGGTTTTTGGTTTCAACTGAAAAGTAACATCCCTCAAAGAAGAATGTGAATTCTGCTGGAGTCACAGTATATCATTTTAATTAAAGTTTCCCGCTTCCCCATAGTCACGATCGGAGAAAGAATCATTTGGGCTATTTTGGGATGGCACCAATCAACATGCTTATTACCAGAATAGTTAAGAATGTCGAAATTGACTGGAAATTTGTCCAGATTAGTATCATGCTTTACATAGTTCTACATCAAATTAAATAGATAAACTAATATATTAGTCAGTTGCATTGAATTGTTCCGTGTACTCAGACTTTTAGTCTCTTTCAGGTCAGCTCATAGACTCCAGCAAGAATTGACATATTCCGTCAGCTCAGAAATGTTACGTCACATAAGCTGTACAAGTATTTCCATCTTTGTTTTCTTTATCTTCGCAAAGGTTAACAAGAGGGCAAGAGCAGATGAGATGCTATAACATGGGGTTTAAAGGCCTGGAGATTGTAGGAGACGACTGAGGAAGATAAGGAGTTCCATTTTCTTGAGGTCCTGGGAAAGAATGAGTTAGAATAAGAGACAATGTGATTATTTTTATTTCAACACAGGGGGATGTAGGCGGGAGGAATACTTTGGAGCTTATAACAAAAAGGGATGAACTTTCAGAAGAGCAATGACCAGAATAGTATCATTAACTGAGAAAAGCATTTAGAAAGGGTGCAATGGTGAAAAAGGTTACACGAGGAATAAATCACCATTCAAAGAACAAGCCTTTTTTTTGAATGGTCCTTCCCATATTTGGACGCAGTATTCAAGACTTCAGAGATTTATTAACTCAAAAACAAAACACATAAAGAATCACACAAACATTTCTTCCATGGAGGACTTGGATCAATGAACGAATCAAACTGAAACCTAACCTAATTTTATTCACATTGTGCAAGATTGCACTGTGGGGTCCTGAAAGAGTTAAATTCTTCTGACTACTTAATACAGTTGCAATCTACACATTGTTCTTCGCGATAAAGCAGGGCTCCAGCACATGACCCAATCTTTAATCATTATCTTAAAACACTCAAAGAGAACTCTTGTTTCAACCTTTCAGTTTCAACTATCAACTAGGCTACCCGTGGGTTTTCAAATTATTTTTTCTTCTTTTTTCTTCTTCCATTATTTCTTCTTCTTCCCTCAATAAAACAGTCAACAAAATAAATAAGTAAATGTGCGTAGCTAAATGAAACAATAGCAATGCCGTCTTGTCAAATAATAACAAGCCAGAAGATACTAACCTGGCAACAGCAATGCAGCAGATTTTGTATAGCATTTACCTCATCTGAAGGAGATATTTAACATTATGAAATTACCTAGTTAGTAATGGTCTAGTTTGACATTAAGTGAACATGCACATGTGGTGTCACTTTTTTCTTATAACAGGATTTTGGTCTGTTGAGGTACGAGTTAAAAAAATACACAGGAATGCATTTTTTAAACCCACAGATATAAATAATCACTCAATAAACACAGCACAGCTCCGGAAACCACTTTTCCTTCAGGATTAAGGGATCGAAATAGGACTTAATAAACAGCAGCTATTCAAATAAACTAGGGCCAAGCAATTTCTAAACATTTAGTCAAATTGCAATTCAGGAAATTTCAGTTTCAGTGCTGCATCTACTGAGTGCTAACAGAAAACTTAGATAATAGGATTTAACTTTTTACATATGCAATATGGGTGCTTTATCAACATAACCAAGACTGTTGGGCGCATTTCTCTGAAGGTCAGAAAATGTAGAGATCTTGGTGATGCTAATTGATAATACGGAAAAGTTGCATTATAAACACAAACTCCTAAGGACCATCAATTTATCAACCTTATGAAAAGCAGCCCTGAAACATGTAGACAGCAACTGAAGGCTTGGCACTTCTATAAAAGATAATAATCCTTGCATTTAGTAATATTCCTGTTGAACTGAGTTGCCTAACCAGCCTCCCATGCCCTCGTTCAGGGGAGGGAATGCAATACATGTTTAAGTAAAATGGGGGAGGTTAATAAACACTTATGGAGCATAAAATATAAATTGGTGCATCCTTTATTCATACCACAAGTGATGCAATTAGCTCAAGGAATTCTTCTTGTGGTTCAGAGGTAGAGCCAAATTGGAGAACAGATTTCATGGTGAATAGAATGCTTTCCCAGCTACATCGCTCTCTTCACAACCTATGGATCACTTTAAATCACATTTAAAACGTAAATTTCATTCGGACTTTTAACATTGTATTTTCCTGCCTAACACAACAATCAGCAATTAATCAGAAGCTATGGGATACCATCTATATTCCACTCGCCGCTTTGACACTTGTCAGTTTTTTCAAGTCAGCCGAGTTGTAGGATATCAATCGAATCCTAAAATGCTGATTGCACATCCTCCAATATCCTTGAACATATACTGTACACACAATCTATCATTCCCCTATTCTAGTCAATAAACCATGTTATTGACAGTCTGCAAAGAACGTGTATTGACTGGGCCTCGAGGCTAGGCAACCAATTTGATCTGATTGTGCAGAGTAGAAGACCCAATTAAGTCAGAAAGAAGAGGCAACGGTTGAGTTCCTGATCTCAGTCAGGCTGTTACCAGGGGATGGAAGGACAATAAAAAAAGGAGGCCGAGTCTTCTGGCAGCTACTTACAAAGAATCCTAGGAAAAGAGTGCAAAATGGTGTGTGGTTCAAGAGGCAGGAAACAAGGAGACGGAAATAATAAACATTGAACTGAAAGAAAAATGGAAAATCATGAAGCCAACCCACATCACAAAACTCTGTCCACAGGGAATGCTTCTTAACTTTCTTTATCGCTGCTTAGCTTGCATATTGGCGCAAACCATCTAAGAAAACAAGAATGATTTTCCAGTGTTTTGAGTCGAATTCAAGCTGGTTTTGGAATAGCTTGCAGAAGAAATGCATTAATAAGGTTGTCCCATCTTCCACATGCAGCACCACAATAGACAGAATATTTACGCTTTCAAATCTGTGATCCTCAGCACAGTAATAACCAGCCCACAGATTCTGCGACAGTCTGGTATCGATCCTACACTTCTCACATGGAAAGCATGGTCAAATATTGACTAGAAAACAATGTTTTTTTATAGCAACGTCCACTCTCTAAGAAACCCTATGTTGATCCACTGACCATTTATTATCCCTTGAAATCTTTATGAAATAAATCAGGTCTGTTAAAGGATCTGCAACTGGAGAAAATCCGTCTCCTTCCGAAGTGTCTTATTTTTGGGAAGCACGCACTCCAACGTTAAGGTTACACATCATCGGTAGTGTTTCATACGTTTTGGTAAATTTCAACCTCAAAATCGTGTTTCTTTCCCCTCTTCCCCCCAAAAAATGTGTGGCAGAGATATGATGTGTCGAACGATGCGCTTCCGTGAAGAGAAATTCTGTTTCTATAAAACTGTCTTGCGTCTGAATATCACAGACAAATCGGACAAGCAACAATCATCAGCTATGATAAATACATGTACTGGTGATAATACTAATAATCCTTTCATAAAGTATAGCGTTTCACGTCTGGAATAACGTACAGTAGTTTAAGAGCACATAGCTCCTCGTAGGCCCTTAAAACGATTAAACGTTAACTGTAAAACCAAACACAGAGGTACTCTGTTTCCACAAAACGATAACTAATAAATTCATGTGCATGTGCATAACATGATCTAGCAAAAACATCAGCAAATATGTCCATACAGTGTTCCTCCTCTTACCCACTCCCTCCACCCCTGCATTAATGCCACTTCCGCTGTGCTGTAAATTAATTCTCCTATGTCAATGGACAATAGTCACAAAATCCAAGATTATCTTCCCAAACAGAACTATTTCGCAAACTGCAGCCTGGCTCTGTTTTGTCACAGCCAGGGCAGATCAGCAGCTCTCCTCCAACATGCTCCCAACACAAAACAAATGATGATATTGTATTATTTGCACAGAAAACCTTTCGCTTTGCAATAGTAAATGTGGACAAGACATGTGTCACGTGCAGAACTTGAAGCAGTTTTTTTATGTATATATATATATGTACATGTGTATGGAAATTCCTCATGACTTGGGGAGCAGTCGGTCCCGCAGATTTGAGCTGAATTGATGATGATCATTGGAATTTCATGGACAGCAACACTATGTGCAGGGTAGTCAGGCAGAGCAATTGATTGCTTGACTGGTGTATTCATTCCCATGTTACAGTGCAACCAGAATCATCTGAAAATACTATCATCCCTTTTATTCCAACCAGGCAGGGCATTATGTAAAAGTTTTTTATAGGACCATTTTTTTTTAGCCCCCTTCTCACTCTCTTTCTCCTTTATCTCCCAGATATCAATCAACCTCAACGTGTGCCCCCCACCCCCAGGGACAGAAAGTTAACTTTGTTAAAAAAAAAATTTAAAATAATTTTTTAAAAAAAAATTAAGAAAAAATATTACATTTTTTATAAGTTTTGAGAAAAAAAATACTCGAGATACAGGAAAACGATTATGCAGTTGTGGAATTTCGATTCAAACGTTATCAAATTGGATTTTTTGTTGTTGGTAAGCAAAAAGAGGGGGTTTTAAGTTAAATCCATATGCTCACTGGGAGCCTGGTGCACTTTTTTGGTTCAATGCATTTGAAGAGAGAGAAAGAGAGGGAAGAGAAAGTCATGGAAAGAGAGAGAGAGAGAGAAAAATCAGCAGAGTGAAAAATTTGCAAACTGCAAAGTTCAGCAATTTCAAAAAGGAGAAGAAAAGAAGTGTGTGTGTGTGTGTTGGGGAGATTTGTTGCATGCACTTACTTACTTACTTACTTACTTACCCATGGCTGAGCTGTGGAGTGAGGGTAGTTGGTGTCCTTGGTTTCCCAGTGCTGTAGCCTTCTCGCTCCTCTGTGTCTGTCTCTCCCTGGTTTGTGTGGCTGAGCTTTGGGGGCACAGAGAGAGAGAGAGAGAGACTAGCTGACGTCAGGCTCCCTGCTACAGAGAGAGAGGATTAAAACTCAGGAGCAATTGGCATCTGAGTCAACCAGAGGCAGCAAAGAGAGAGAGAGAGAGAGAAAGAGGAGGAAAGAGGCAGGATGACTAGGAGGGAAACTTTTAACAAAAAAACATCCAGGGAGAAAGTCTAAACGATTGCAATGAAAAGGCATTCACTCACTCATTCACTCAACTCCACTCACTCACTCACTCACTCACTCAGCATTGCAATGACTGCTAATAAAGGGCGATTGGTGCTAAGTACTGTACAACCCTTCACTTACTCCCCCACAGAGCTCCAGTGGGGATTAAACGTCACTGAGTTCAGGCTGAAATGCTGAGGAACTTGGCACTTGAAATAAAATGTATCCAGTAATTTGACATGAGAGCACATGCACCCAAAGATGTTGTCGAATGCCAAAATCGGAGATGGCAATTCTTTTCTTCCGGTCAGCCGGGTGTCTGACTCACGCGGAAACCTATCATCACCCTTAAGGGTATCCAAACCAAACTGAGAATTCCAAGCATCCCACCTACACATGGACATTCCAGAGAGAGATTGTTGGAACGAAATGCGCACTCTCTCCCTGAAGGGAGGGATGCATCCTGTTTACTTAATTCCGGAAAGAATTAGACGCAGGTTGGCAAGAGCCAAGGATACTAATTTTCTCTCTTTTTTTTAGCAGTTTGCCCACAAATGCTGCAGAGATTGTGCAATATCTGAATTCATTGAATTTGAAGTGATCCAAATTTCTCTGGCTTGATTAATAAGAATTTGAGCCCAGTGGATTTCATCTGTCAGTTTTCGCTCACAGTGAATAAGTGGACAGTGAGGACAGAACTACAACAACAGGATTACATTTGTATAGCGCCTTTCATGTCGGGAGGACATCTCAACACGCTGGACAGTGTACAGCATTTCAGACCCTACGATATTAACTAAAAACTTGCACCGGTGACTTTCAAGTAAGGATCAATAGTTAATGATTTTAACCCCTCCCTTGCCCAGTTTTGAAGGGAAAAAGTGACATGAGTTAATTACGCATTTATTTTGGAATTTTACTCCAATTCCAAATACCTCCCACTGCCTTCTTTGCCCCCCAAATCCAAACCCCAGCTCAAGCCCGAACCCTCGACTGTCCAGTGCCTTGATACATCCTCCCAATGTGAAGGGCACCAAATAAATACAATTTTTTGTCATTCCTCCCCTATTTTGAAGGCACCAACATACAATCCACTGACCACTTTCCCTTTCTTGGCCCATTTTCACTTGTGACCCCAGTCAGTGAATGCCAGCGGACCATTCAATAATTGGTGCGGTGGTTGGACTACCCTAACCAAAAATCCACACATGAACTTTTCAGCAGGGATCAATGCATCACAATTGTTTTCACCTACCAAAGCAGGAGCCATTGAAGCTATTGTTGCACCTTTAACTGTTATGTCAGGAGAGATTACCAGCTAAATGATTGCCATTGAAAGCACTGTCTGGCAAGTTTCTTGCTGCTTGTCCAGCTAGCACCACCTTATCATCAGAGCTTTGACTTGTAGGATTAACAGGAGCTGAGGAGGAACAGGAACTGAACTGCCCTCAGTCTGGCCTTCTTAGTCCTACAAATGCCAGCCTGGATCGGACTACCAATACCGCCACAGTAGGTTGAATTGATTACAACATTCCATTGCCATGCATGTCACCTTCAAGAGAGCTTCGAGGCGACCCCACTTACTCCCCTCTTCTCTCCGCCCACCCCCGCGTGTGGTCACTGGTTGATTATTTGGCATCCAACAAGTGCAGGCACCTTCCTGCAAGCCACTTGGGTAGCAGCACACTTCAGGATGAAATACATGAGATCATGGCCACCATCCTTCTGCCTACAGCTGAGACACATTGATTAGGTGTCAGTCTCGCCAGTTGGAAGTGCAGAGCTGGAGCAGCATCTTCTTATCTCTCTGCATACCAATCAAGGTAGATATCAAGCCCTGGATGTATGAGCCTGCAATCACAAACACACAGACTCCAGTCATGTCTGTCAAACAGCTGATGTGGAAATGCTGCTGGAAAAACTAAACATACAGTCAAACCTGTTCAAGCATCTACTTCCATTCAGCAACCACACCCTGTTAACCATGCAAGAACTGCCCAGAGAGCCTGGTTTGCCCACCAATGAACCCTTACTTAGAAGCCACCCTTATATAAAGGCCACTTTGGTCCAATCCCCTGAGCAATTGTTGAAAACAGAATTCACTATATTTTGATTTGTCATACAGCGATTTAGGAGTATCTCCCATCGTAGGGAGACACCAAACATAGGTCAGGCACCTCACCATAGAAAGGAAACAAATCACACACCTCTAGAAAATTCAGCACAGAAGGAGGCCATTCGGACCATCTTGTTTATGCCAGCTCTTTAAAAAGAGCTATCCAATTCAATCCCACTCCCCCGCTCTCTCCCCATAGTCCTGCAAATTTGTCCTCCCCAAATAATTATCTACTTCTCTCTTAAAGTTGTTTCCATCACCCTTTCAGGCATTGTGTCTTACAAAATAGCATTACAATATTCCTTGCATTTGATGGAGTAGATATGATTTCAAAATGTCTCCAAGTACTTCACAGGGAATTGCTGTCAAGTGTAATAATAATAATCCTTGCAGTTGATATTGCCCCTTTCATGTTGGGGCAACTTGCAATCAATCATCTCACTTCAAGCTAAGAATGCAACGAACTGAGCCGGCCCCAGGAGAGAGAGGGAAGGGGGAGATGGCATCCATCATAAAGGAAGCGCCGGGCAGAACAGAGTGAAAGCTACCATAATCCCCCTCCCTTTGGTATGGTAATAATCCTTTTTAAAAATTAATTTGATAACTCTGTCCACGACTGTTTGTGGGACACTGCTGTGCGCAATTGGCTGCCACATCTCTCCCACAAATATACAGTCAATTCACTTTACAGTATATTCTGTGAAGTGCTTTGAGACGTCTTGGGAAGGCGCTATATCAAATGCAAGGATTATTATCATTATTATAAATGTCCTGAGAAGACTTTGCAACCCTGGTTCCTTGGCTGTGGATGTTGGATCGTACAGAGAGAGACCATAAAATGAGGAGAATAAAAATTGGAACCAACTTAAAAAAATACAATTTATGGCGTAAACACAATTTAAGTTAAATGATGATAGGTTTCCCAGGTAAAGAATGTGCCTCTACCGCCTGAAGAATAGCTTTGAAGAGCTTCAAAAGTTCGAGCCTAGAGACCAGCAGATCAGAGTGGTTGATCCTACAGACTTTGTTCCATTGTGATTCTCTGCCATTTACTTCTTTCTTTGTTGTATTTTTCTATTGTGAATCAGTAAAGTACTGTATTGAATAGCAGCCTCCATTGTCCTCAGAGAGAAATCATCAGTAGTTTTTTTTATGCGAATTTTTACACTTTCTCAATGCTATTGCCGGCTGGAATGGAGTTGATAGTGATTGGCATTCAACAAAGTATTACCATCACAAGCAGATTTGGATCAAATGTCAGAACACAATTGAACAACACCAACTCACATTTAAAAAGCACCTTTTACATCAACCAAAGTTTCAAAGCAGTACTCACTAATTAGGGAAATAAGTGATTTAAAGATGTTGATTTGAGCCGATGTCAGCTTGGCTCAGTTTGTAACACTCTCAGAAAGTCTTGGGTTGAAGCCCACATCGGGGCTTTGAACTCATAGTCTAGGCTGGTACTCCAGTGCAGTTCTGATGGTGTGCTGCATTGTTGGATGAAATGTTAAACCAAGATCCTGTCTGTTTGTTTAGGTGTGCGTTAAAGATCTCCTGGTACTTTTCACAAAGAGAAGGGAGTTTCTCCCGATGTCCTAACCAACAATTCCCCAAATAAAAATTGGGCATTACTCAATGACTGTTTGTGGGACATTGTTATGTGCAAAATTGGCTGCCACATTTGACTACAAATACACAATCACTGTACTTCACAATAACTCCTGTGAATAGCTTTAAGATGTCTTGATGACATGATGAGGAGTCACATAAAAACAAGCAATGATTATTACAAGGGAAGTTTTTGATTTGGTAAACATGATCTTGATGTACAACTTTATCTCTGGTGAAGATGTGTTCAAAGGTCAATGGTAAGTGGAGGATTCTTCATGAAGCAGGTAAGATCCCTCTGCAGTGAAGAATCAGTAAACAATAAACAAATACTGTGAGATAAGCGGCAGAAAAAGGGCAGTGATCCAAGCAATACCAATTTAGTTAACAAAATGCAAAATACTGCAGATGCTGGAAGTCTGAAACAAAAACAGAAGTCGCTGGGAACACTAAGCAGGTCAGACAGCATCTATGGAGAGCGGAAAGTTCTGACGAAGGGTCGTGGACCCGAAACGTTGACTCATTTCCCAACTTTGTTAATATTGATGTTTACATTAATAACAATGAAGAGGTGAGTTACTATTAGAAATGATAGTTATCAAGGAAACTGTATTCTCCTTATTACATAATCTGTAAGACAGATCGTGCTTACGGTCACGTCCCCCCTCCCTCTCCCCCTCGTTGTCAGACTCCGCCACTGTGAAGCGCTCCGGGATGTATCCCCTCGTGAAGGGTGCTATATAAATGCAAGTTGTTGTTGTTTTACCATTTAAATACCATTACTGGGAACAATACATCACAGGATAATTAGGATGGATGTAGGAATTGATCCAGGTCTGATCTCTTTCAGCAGGTTGGATGCAGCTAATTGCTTAATTGTGCAAACTAATATGAAACGGACGTTACCTGTTGTATTTCTCCAACAAAAAAAATTATCCAACAAGCCACCACAAAGCCCATTGAAAGAAATCAAACTGAATAGACGCATGTGCCAAATATGTCAATTATAAGAATAAACATGTCTGTGTGGTAATACATGCTTTTTTGAAGAGAGTTTGATGGAGTGGTGAGTAGGTA